CCGCCCCCAAAAGTTGCTGTAACCCCGGTAAGGTACCCAGCGCATCGTAGGCGTGACCGTGATGGTTACAGGCAGAGGTTTTGGATGTATTACCTAGATTTCATTTGATATATCTCACTGTGCACACGTGCTTCCTCTCTTTTTACGGCTGATTCACTGTGGAAGCTAAGTACAACTACGTGTTTAGCTGCAGCCAATGTTTGAAACGGTCTTCTGACCCTAGCAAGACTGTTTCTTGGAGCTACCATCCTGTCTTCCTCTGTCTCCTTCATGTTCTGTCGTCTGGTGTTATTCTCCTCCGATCACTTCTTCTGTCTGCCATTGGCTCATCCTACTCTGTCTACTTCGTCCTTCTCTTCTTGCGTCATGCTGCTAATCAGAACTCCCTACTTTCTCCACCTCCAGCTTCTGCTCTTTCCGCTGTCCTTTGCTTTGTATATGCTTGACCTCATTTCATTTATTCTTAAATAATAAATCGTCTACCATACAATTGACCATTATATTGCAGTTTGTCACAGTGCTATGATACTGTGAGTCTGTGGGACAATGAGAATAAAGTGTTTTGCCAGCAGATACGTTAACAAATAGTGCCTTGCCGGGGCTCAAACCAGCCGCTCAGATCGGTAATACCAAGAGCAGATAAAGAAGGTACCTTCTTTATCTGCTCTTGGTAATATGCTAAGCTATCTAATTCTAAGCCCACTAGCACAGCTGGTAGAGCTTGTACAGGCTGAAGCATACCAATTACTTGCGTAAAGTGTCTTGTACAGCATTGAACAATATGGGACTTGAATCACAGGCTGTTCAGTTGGAAGTTCTGAATGGTAACCCTTAGACTTGGAGCATATAGTATAAAATCCCATTCTAATTCTGATCTAACTATTCACAAAAGTTTTTCTTGTCTTTACGCTAATAGTGTGCAGCAACATAGCAAGATAGAGGAGATGAACATTTAAGGTCGGAGTGCTGGTAGTAATAGGAACCTAAAAGGAAGAGTATCTCTATATCATCAGAATGAATGCAGCTGCCTTCACCTTAGCAATACTGGGCCTGCACTGGTGTATGTGCACAAATGGAGACAATTCATGGACATTGAAAAAGGTGAGTATTTAATCAGTTGGGTAGCTCAGATTAATAACTATGTCTCACATAAAAAAAACTGTTATTAAGTTATATATACTTTTCTCTTTATTTGGCTTGGACATACTTTATTCTTGTTTCAGCTGACTCATAAGCCAAGGTCCCTCTCACAGGAACGCATGAAAGAATTATCCGATCTTTCTAATCACGATAGATTGACTAAAGTGGAGCTAGCACCAATGCTCATGCCACGAGTTCCAGGAACTGCAGGCAACACCAAATGTCAGCAGGTAATATTTAAATGGCTTGTATAACTATTTAACACGATGAAAGTACAGATTTCAACAAATGTATGGCAGAAGGTATACGATTCAACGGCAAATTCACTACAAGACGTAACTGTGCATAGAGAATGGTTTTATACACATGACAGTTATGGCATACTTTATTATCCTTTTCTTAAAAATATAAATGATGGATGCTGATGAGGATGGGTCTATGTAGGATACGGAATAACGAGCTGCCTGAGATAGCGACAATATTTCTGTTATTGGTATTCAGTTTTTAATTATGATTCCATGTAGAGGGCAGCACCATGTATGTATGCATATTAACTGCATGGCCGTGTGTCACTTGCGTTATCGCCTTGAGTTTGAATTTTACAATAATTATGACTATATATTGAGCTGCATGTTACTGATTCACAGATTGGTATAAAGCACACTTTGAATATGTAAACTTTCGGTTAACGAATCTTCACCAATTTGCTTGAGATGGTCTTTAGCAAATCCGTAACAAACCTTGAAACCAGGTGGAAAATTTACCTCCTGTATTGCCAGATTTTACTCTGAATTGAATTTAAGTGAACTGACTTAATTTGATTGTTTTTTTCATTTAATTTTTCATTTCAGCATATTATCAGTAGGTTGCAGAACCTAGACTGGGAAATAGAATTAGACGAATTTGAGGAAAATACTCCATATGGCACAAAACCATTCACAAATATCATTGGTAGGTTCATGTCTGTTCCTGACTGATTGAGTATCAGTTGAAATTAATTCACGCAGTTCATATTTTCCTGCTCATTTTTTTAATACTGTGCCTATTCTTTGATACTCCTTGGGATGAATTGCGGTTGGAATGACCATCCTTGGGCCTTGCAATGTTATACATTCACACTACTGGGCAGCCATTAGCTTTTACTTTGATGTTGTTGTCTGACATTCTGTTTCAGCAACGTGGGATCCACATGCACCACGAAGACTCGTGTTGGCTTGCCACTTTGATTCCAAGTACTTTAAGGATTTTGAGTTTATTGGAGCGACAGATTCAGCGGTGCCGTGTGCGATGATATTGGACCTTGCTTACACACTAGATAAATATCTGAAGAAGGAGAGAAAACAGGTGTCGAAAAAAACGATGTTTATTTCTTGGTTTGAAACTACCAGCTTGTCAAAAACATAAATTTATGTTTCACAATTTCAGTGTGCAAAGTTATATTATGTTGTGTTCATGTCCAAGCATGCGGATGGCTCTCTGCTCTCTCTCTCTCTCTCTCTCTCTCTCTCTCTCTCTCTCCTCCTCTCTCTCTCTCTCATCTCTCTCCTCTCTCTCTCTCTCTCTCTCTCTCTCTCCTCTCTCTCTTTCTCGCTCTCTCTCTCTCTCTCTCTCTCTCTCTCTTCTCTCTCTCTCTCTCTCCTCTCTCTCTCTCTCTCTCTCTCTCTCTTTCTCTCTCTCTCCTCTCTCTCCTTTCTCAGCAACTCTCTCTCTCTCTCTCTGTCTCTCTCTTTCTCAGACTCACTCGCTCTCTCTCTCTCTCTCTCTCTCTCGTGGTCTCTCTCAATTTTGTTTTAATCTCTCTCTCTCTCTCCTCGCTCTCTTGCCCTCTCTTTCGGCTCTCTCTCTCTCTCTCTGTGTCTCTCTCTCTCTCTCTCTGTCTCTCTCTCTCTTTCTCTCTCTCTCTTTCTCTGACTCTCTGACTCTCTCTCACTCTCGCCTCGTGCGCAAATCGATTGTGACGAATTAACTAGCTACCTATTTATTCTCATCAGATCAAGGCTCAATATTTTTATACAAATTAAATTTAATTAAATTTTTAAACTCATCCTCAGGCGCAGGACGTCACGCTGCAGCTGCTGTTCTTCGATGGGGAGGAAGCGTTTCGTGATTGGACGGACACGGACAGCATTTACGGAGCGCGCCACCTGTCGCAGGCGATGAAGAACAGGGTCCACCCCATGAACAACGAGGACGGCACTAACCTACTGCACGGAATTGTAAACAGAATAACATCAATTACCGATACTGACGGGGAGGACATTAGCCTAGCTTTTGGCATCATTTCTAGTTGAATCACAATGCTTTGTATCAATTTTTGTTGGAGTGTTTGTATTTCATAAGTACAAGTTACCACACATGGCATTAAGTCACTGATTCGGCCCACTGCTAATATATTTATAGTGATTGGTTTTATAATAATTAATGAGATTTCAGATTAATTAGTGACATCACTTTTTAGCTCAGCTGACAAAGTCAGATGCAGCTTGTAGAATCGCATGATTGTCTGTCCGTGCGTCTGTCCGTCCATCAACAGTTGGGCACAAATCTTAACCGCTCGACGTACGGTCTTGATATTTGGGACGTCGAGGGGGATCGCGAAAAGGACTCGGGATGTCGAATTTTGGGGTCAGTGGTCAAAGGTTAAGGTGTGTCAATGGAGGGGGAATATTTCCCCCTTAACTTAAGGTATAGGAGGAAATACGGAATTGTGGCACAAACCTCAACGGCTTGACCTACGCTCTTAATATTCGATGTATAGTGTGATGGGGAGGAAACCCATCCCCAGCACAAAATTGGAGGTCACAGGTCAAAGGGCAGTGGGGGAAAGGTCAGATATCAGACATTTTCTGAGGACATGGTCTAACGGACCGAGTGAAAAACATTTTTTGTTTCAGTGCTGACCTACCATTTTTATCACTTTATTGAAAGGACCATGAAATGTGCTTTCCGCTGACGTGCGAAGAGTAAGTGTCTGATAACCTTCTTACCCTCAAGAAGAGGGGTGAACATGGATCTGTATTAGTAGTATCCTAGATATATGCTCTGAGCGCGAACGCGGTGGCAGGAGGGCGCACTTGATTCGGTTGCCAGTGAGTTTATCAGAAGAATACCCGGCTAGAGTACACGTCAGTTGAGCGCTGTCGCTCTGCGGCACTTGTAACATGAAACAACAATTAAAAAAGGGAAAAATATATTACAGATAGTTATTACCATTCGATGTGTAGGAGCAGTTGGCGCAATTTATTGTCACTGGTGTGACATGAAGCTGTACGAGATTTCTATTTCTATTGGCCTTTGCAGGACATGCTAGTTCTCCTTGACCTTATAGGAGCTGCTAATCCTCGTTTCTCTAGTTATTTTGATGGCACATCGAAGATGTTTGATCGCCTCATCAGAATAGGTATGTGCTTGAAAAACCTGTAGAACTAGTTTGTTTGTTAATAATATAAGAAAACTGTCCTAAACATGGCGAATATGTCCGCTTTAATAGAACTGTATACCTTATGAGAAGTGTGGCTGGCAATCTATCATTTGAATCTGGTATGATAGATACCCCCTTGAGGTTGAAATAAAAAAATTCTGCTTATGGTTATGAGTTTATTTCTGTCATGGAAGCATATCAGTATTAACAAATCTGATTTCAGAGAAAACACTGGCTAAGCAGGACTTGCTAGTTAGTCATTCGAAGACAGCAAACCAGTATTTTAACACGCGCCGACGAGGCCACAATGGTATAGCAGAGGATGACCACATTCCATTCATGAAAAAAGGTAGATGCTTAATATGCAGCCATTAATGTATATATATATATATATATATAAATATGTATGTATGTATCATACCTGTCAACAAATAGTTTTTGATGCTAGGTTAAATATCCACAGCATCAAAAGAAAATTCTATTTCGTTAGTTATAACTATATTTTCAACACGGAGGTATCATCTATACAGTAAACACCCGCATAAAAGAACCCGTGATTTTAAGAACCTACAGGCTGAAACAGGTTCTTATATAAAAAAAATACCAAAAATTAGAGGAAACTGGGGCAATCCAAGTATGTGTGCTACACCATTGGAAACTGTCTACTATTAGTCAAATCATTATATACCCCCCAAAATACCCGCCAAAATACTCCCCCCCCCCCGAAAAAAAAATTAAGAATCTCTAAGAACCTCTTCAGGCTGATTTCTCATTATGTACCATATATATAAGAACCTCTTCAGCCTGAAACAGAAAATCACGGGTTCTTTTATGCGGGTGTTTACTGTATGTTTGCATCCCTATGTGAGTGTGTGCACAAACGTTTTTTTTATCTGCAGTTCGTCTACTGTTTGTGTGTATGCGTTTGCATCAGTGTGCGAGTATGTGCACAGACGTTTTCTCATCTGTCGTTGGTTATTTTGTTTACATAGGCGTGCGCGTGCTGCACCTCATTCCGATGCCGTTCCCCGACGTCTGGCACACGCAGAGCGACGATGGTCACCACGTCGACCACGACACCGTCGACAACCTCAACAAGATCATGCGCGTGTTTGTCGCCGAGTATCTACACCTGCCCGTGTGAGGGCGCCACTGCACGTAGCGCTTGTGTGAGGGCGCCACCGCACGTAGCACCCGTGTGAGGGGGCGCCACTGCATGTAGCGCCTGTGTGAGGGCGCCACCGTGCGTAGTGCCTGTGTGAAGGCGCCACCACACGTAGCCCTCGTGTGAGGGCGCCACCGCTCGTAGCGCCCGTGTGAGGGCACCACCTAGGGTAACGTTGACGTGAGGGCGCCAGCGCAGCTAATGTTTATGCGAGGGCATCACCTATTGTGTGAGGGCGCCACCACATGCAATGCAGCATCCATGCGAGGGAGCCACCTCATGTAGCAACTGCATGAGGGCGCCACCTCTTTATTCTGCGCTGAGTGCAGGTGTCTCGCTCTCAATGACTGTTTCAAGTTAGCATTAATATTAACCAAACCAGTAAAGTTTAATATATTAACCAAACTGGTTACCTTTATAAACTGCCACAATTTTTCCACCGTGTAGCTGGTGGTGTTTTTTATAATTAGTAACATACTTAGATCTTTATCAATGGGTTTCTTCCAGGTTAAGATATTAAATAATGTATATAAAGTAACGAATTTTGAACTTTACTCTAGTATCGGTGTTTGATAACCATTAGATCATCTAACAGAGACTGAAGAGTGTCTGAATTTACGAAAATCGTGCTTATAATAATTTCAGCAAGCGGTGGCTGAAATCGGTTTCCTATTCTAAGAAAAGAGAGTGATATAATGACAGTGATATATTTGTGCTGGTGAGTGCGCGATCTCATCTTGGGTTAAGCAGCCACTACTGTGATTTCACCTAGCTGTGCCCTGATACTGAGTGCCTACGTTTGACAGGTGTTGCCACGGGTTACCAGCTGAGGATGGCTATGTATAGAGTGTGGCCACTGGCCTGCTTTAACGCACTATAGATGGCGCCACTGAAGTTGAGGTTGAGAGTGGCGTTTAGGAATGAACGGTGGCGTGTGAAGGTTTTATTTATACTTAAAGGTTTTCGTTTGCCTGTAATATATAAAATAGTATCACTTAGTAGAGGTTTAATTATACTCTCACGTTGTATGTCGACTAGTGGAATAATTCTTATTAAAGGTACGGAGGGGTGGTGACATGAAAACCATGTGATACATTATATATTTTTGAATTTATTTTTAACAATAAATCTTCGGTTGTTTTTGGATCATGGATTTTTTGTTCCTGTTTATTTGTGGAGACATGGTCTCGCGTATAGTGACCCACAATGTACTCCTATGATGCCATATAATTTGTATTTTGCTGATTTCCTAAACATCTAAGCAATCCTACAAAATTGTGGAGATGCTTATGCTGATATCAGGAGTAGATAATAGAGACTATATTACTACTCTATTATCTACACCTGCTGATATGTACATCCCTTACACTCTCCTAACTCTACTATGATAATAACATCCCTGCTTACTACGTGAGTGAAGAATAGCCAGACCACTGTATATATCCCAGCTCTCCCGTGGTTTTCCTGGATTAACAAAGTCCCTTGGTATACAACCTGTGAGGTTCAAGTGAAACGTGAATAGTGGAGAAAATTCTTCATTGCTTTATCGCTAAGAGACCTCGAGTAAACTGAAAGATTGATCAATATAAATTTGGTCAAGAGTAGATAATAACACAAATGTGTTATTATCTAATTTTGATTTGGTGCATAGGATTTTTCTGTAGAAAGGCGTAGGAGCTTGTCATTCGTAATTCACTGTAGGGATTTGTCACTGAGAATAAGTATAACATCAGTAGGTAATAGTTATCAAGCCATTATTATGTTATTATTATTAATTAATTGCATAATAATTATTAATAATAATGAATATATTCATATAATAGTAATAAATATTATTGTGTACGCCTGATACCACAGCTATCGTTACATATAGTGTGTGTGCCAAAATGGTGTAAAACGAGTTTTACAATTCGTATATAAATTTATACAGGTTAGAATGGATTATTATTGTTCAACATTGTAATTAATATTTTTGAATAGCATAGTTTTTCTTGTTATAGATTTGCATTTGTAAAACAGTTATCATAATTGATTGCTTGCTTGCTCTTCCAACTAAGCTGTAAAGTTTCTCCTTATATATTATTATTTTATATGTAAATATATATATATATATATATCAGGGCTAAATAATATCATATGATTAATTACCCCACATATATATACATTACACGCACCACGCACACGCACCACGTACCACGCACCCCGCACACACACACGCGCGCACACACACACACACACACACGCTCACACACACACACACACACACACACACACA